GAGAAATACAACTTTTTACATCTATTTCTAACTATGTGAGCCATGTCCCGGGGCTGTGGGCCAAGCCATGGCCACCTCACCGAGCCCGGAGCCTTTGCCACTACCTTTTCTGGGCAAGTTGCTGCCGCTGTCAAGCACTTGCCATGCTGCTTCTCCCTGTGGTGGAGAGAGGCAGGAGGCGCCCTGCTTGGCCAGCCATGACCCAGTCCCTCGCCTCCCTTCGCCTTGGAAAGCAGCCATTACCTCCCTCAGTGTGGCCCTCTCCTGGCCGGGGGAGCTGCCCCACAGTCGCCTCCCCAGCCTCCCGCTCCCGCTCCCCCTCTCGGAGCTGGGCAAGTGCCTGCGAGGGGACTTTCCGCTGGCTTGGAAGCGGGGTGGCAGTGAGGCACCGGGAGGGCTCCCCCTCATGTCATGCTCTCCCTTTTGGTGGGCGGCATGGCATCATCTTGGGCTTCTGCTGCAGCCCAAGCAAGCGGGGCAAACATTTTTTTTTTAAATTTATTTTAATTTAAATTAATTTTTTCATGTGTAGTGTGCATAGGAATTTGTTCTTTTTTTTTTTTTTTTTCAAATTATAGTCTGGCCCCACAACAGCCTGAGGGACAGTGAACTGGCCCCCTGTTTAAAAAGTTTGCTGTAATATCTACAGTGAACATGCTCCAAACGAGCACATTCGTTGGTACCCAGCAGTTGCTTTGGCTATCCAACCCTTCACATCTGCTTCTGTCCCCCCATCTGTGTCCATAATACTGCCAAGGTAACCAAATTTCTACACCAATTTTAGAACTTGGCCTCCTGCTGTTTGAGGACCCCTGGCTTAGAGCATTCATTCCATCAGATATCATGACCTCCATGATCTTACGGGGCTGCTGTGAAGATTTCACTGGTTTTTCAGGGGAGTCATTGAGCAGCTTAAAAAGCATAGAGAAAAATATTTTTGTCCCTTGCTGAGTCCTTTTTTCTCTGTTTCTTACTATTCTTGGAAGTTTTGGTATTTTTACTCTTTTTTTGCAGCCCTTCTATTGATAAGAACTTCAGCCAGTAGAGGGCAAGAGCAATGCCTCCTTTGGGAAGATTCCTGGTTGCGTTGCAGATTGGTGGGAAGGCCATTCCTTTTCCAGATGTGGGTTTCTTTCTTTCTCCCAAAGACAACTAGTTGTGTTGTTGTGTGCTTTCTCCCTGGGTGCTCTTTGCCCAGAGCACCTGAACTTCCTCAGCCACCACCTTGTCCAGTCAATGCAGCAGGGTTAATTGCTGTCTCATCAGTAGAGCCTGCAATTGGGGGCATTCATCCAGAACTATCAGTCAGTCTTAAAGGAAATCAATCCTGACTGCTCCTTAGAAGGCCAGATACTGAAGATGAAACTCAAATACGTTGGCCACCCAATGAGAAGGAAGGACTCCCTGGAGAAGAGCCTAAGGCTGGGAACTATTGACGACAAAAGAATAAGGGGACAGCAGAGGATGAGGTGGATTGTTGTTGTTGTTGTTAGTCGCAAAGTCATCTGACACATCGCAACCCCATGGACAATTTTCCTCCAGGTCTTCCTGTCCTCCACCATCCCCAGGAGTCCACCAAAGCTCACGCTGACTGCTTCAGTGACTCCAGCCACCTCGTTCTGTCATTGAGCAGTGGGTGTGGGCTTGGGTGGACTTCGGGGGATGGTGGAGGACAGGAGATCCTGGAGGAATGTTGTCCATGGGGTCGTGATGGGTCAGGCACGTCTTTGCGACTACCAACAACAACATCCAGAACTGATGCTGGGAGACGTTCCAGAGTGCTGAGCACGTGAGCACTGCTGTAAATCTGAAAAAGTGGGGAAAGGAAAGGGTTCAGCAGGCAACCCGGTGAAATGCCTCTTTTGGTTGGGATGTTTTCTGAGAGAAACAAAGTCATTTGGTCAAGTCCCTTTCCCCAAGGAAGGTGTTGGAGTGGAGAATTTGTATTAAAAGAGCATTTTCCTCTCAGGGTCCGTTGTGGCCGGCTTTTCCCATAAATACCCTGTCTGTGAGAGCAAAGGCAGAAATGAACTCTGCGAAAGATGCAACTTACCATTTTCTAGCCTTTGGAGTCATTTTTTTGAATTAGATGATGACAAATTTAATTTGCCCTCAACAAATATGGACTTCTCTGTGCAAATGTAATTTTTGCAGTGTGACTGTGTTGCCAAGAAGAGAAGACTGAGGGGGAGATCTGATAGCGCTGTACATGTACCTCAAAGGAAGTCACAAAGAGGAAGGTCAAGATCTCTTCTTGCTGGTACCAGAATGTAGCA